TTTTCATTATTACACTGTTACGCAACTGTCGGATTTAGCAAAACTTTGTAGGTAGACATTTTGAAACAATATTTTTTACAATAAGCCTCAAAGAAACCGTCAGTCAGACAAGTACCTAGTTTTTATTACAATAGTTTTAAAGGTTAAATAGTCTTACGGCTAAAGCTTGAAATACCATCTATATATATGAAAATGTAATTTTATTTGTGTACGCTTCAACTCAACGCAAAAACTCAAAAAGTACTGAACCGATTGAGCTGAAAGTTCAATACGATTTACAACCCGCTTTAAAGATTGTTTTTATCTATTTGGCACGGTACAGCTAGTTATAATAAAAAGCCATAGTTGAGGAACTGTTGTTTTGTCTCTCCAGCACAACGAGAGGATCCTCCGATCAGGCTTTGGTCTTTGTTAGACATGATAACCTCGCACTGCGCCTGAACGGTTGACGTTGGCAGTTGTTGACATACTAAACCGTCCGAGAACTTTTATAGCGGTATGCAGAATTAGGAATTACGGGTAGTATATTACGGGTTCGTCACGCTGCTATCTACTGCGCTGAGTGTTGTGCGTGCGATCCCCGCATGGAATAACATTTTGTGTAATCCGCAAATTGTTGTCCTGAGTCTGGGTGTCCTTTGGGGCCGTTTTATGTATGTTTGTAAAGTCCCCCGCGACACAGGATATATTCCTAATGCGGATTATTATAAAACATTTTCGTTTATTTGTGTCACCCCACTATAAGACAGTTTTCAGTTTCTTGAATTGAAGTAAGCCTAGTTGTACTGTAGCCTCTAGAACACAGATTTAAGTATTTCAATATTTTTCCATGTTATTACAACTTGTTTTTATCCACGTGGTGACTGATTAAGAATGCAAAATGTTACCTTCCCTATTCATTCCGTGGGTGCCGTAACAGATTACTAAAGGAGCAAACTAAGCAGGACAACAGCACTGCAAAGAGAAGAAAAACTTGAACCTAACCTAACCTAACCCTGGTGCTGAACCTGTTTCTAAGCCAGTCCTACAGAAATGATAGCACAGCTTCACAAAAAACCGCTGTTTTTTGTGAAGTAATTTTGTAAAAGTAATTTTGTCCTCACTTTTCACGAGTGAGGTTGCCGAGGTTACTTTTAATGCCGCAATACATTTTGTGTTTTGTGTCTTGCATGTGCTCATCAGTTGACTTATCTTCAAAAAAACCGACGAACATAATATTAGCTACGATTGCCGTAAGCCGTCTGTATGGAAGGGCTGCCTCAAAACTATGGTTCTTTCTTTAAAAGGCCAACCCAGACCATATACTGCACTCACATAGTGCGCGTTAACATTATACACGGACTTAAAAAACAAAGATACCTCTGTGGTTCGGCGTTTCTTCTCCGAGAGAGTTTAGGCGGCGCCTTCTAGCTGTAAAGTCCGACTTGTAAAAATACCCGAAAAGATTTACTTGCAGGAATAAATATCATTTATCATGATATAACCAAACTAATTGTCGCTTACTACCTTCCTAATCTGTGAGACACTATCATAACTCTGACATTCCTTTAAGCTTTCTTATTTACCAACAAACCACTATTAGAACAAGACTGACATATGTAACTGAATGAATTTCAACCACCCTCTTAAGGCACGCAAGGCTTTCAATCAAATGCAAAACGCTCGGGGGTAGTATCAACCCCACTCGCAACCCCCTCTCAGTACACCACTTTGGTAAAGTGTAGAATTGTATTGTATTTTCAACCTGTATACGAGTATATTTATATTTGTGCTTACAAAAAATTCTTAACAACGCTAAACGAATCTCAGGAGATGTTGGTTTTGGGCAAAATATTATAAAAATTATTAATTTCTTTTAGATTCTGTAAGGATTAAGTCCCTGTCACTTAATCCTTTCAAAATCTATCATTGATTCATTCGGTCTATTGATTAGCAGTCATGGCTGTCGTGCCAGAGGTCGTGGGCTCGATTCGTACTTAAGGCAGATAATTACATGATGACCATTATTTATTTTCTTTGTGTTATTTTACTAAACTAATATAAAGTTGAAAAGTTTGGTTGGTTGAACGCGCTAATTTCAGAAGCTACTAGTTCGAATTGGAAAATTATTTTAGTACTAGATAGCCCATTTATCGAAGAAGGCTATATGCTAAATATCATCACGCTATAAACGACAGGAGCCGAACAAAACTGAAAATTTTTGCGATAACGGCGCAATTTTATTCCTTTTGCAAGATGAAGACTACTTTCCGCGTGTCAAATAGTCTATAATGAGTGACTGAGTCCTTGTATAATATTTTATTTTGCACCTACCGCATCATATTTCTACATCACCTGAAGGTTGACTGAGAGAGAATGCCTACTGGCATTAAGTCCGCCTTTGTACAACATGTGCATTAAGTTTAAAAAAAAATATATGTAATATGTGTGTATTTGGAGAGTGGTGTGTTGTGACTAGTGAGTAGTATCAAGATGGTAAACCACAAGACAAGCGGACTCGGTTTTGTTTAAACAAAATATTTCAAAGTTGTTCTAAAGTTACGCCAAAAGAATTTAAAACTTAACAAATAATTTATGTTATTTTATTTCTTTTAAAAGTTACCTTCAGATAACGAAATGTAATGAAAAACTTGTTCAATGTTTAATTGTAAAGTGTTTCTTGAATTTGCCCGCTATTCTTTTATAAACTTTTGTACGAATTTATAAAAGCTTTTATTAAGATCATATTTTGTTAAACTAGAATTCATAATTTGTTTAATTTGGTTAACATTCGATTTTAAAGTTAATACAATGTAAGTCCTATATATATCGACCTAGACCGATTGACGGCATAAGGTTTGAAAATAATTTTAGTCCCATTAAATTAATACTTTGATAGGACTAAAATTATTTGATTGATTAAGAGTATTGACGGGCCTGTTGGTCTAATGGTTGATGATCCTGACTGCTAAACCAGTGATTTGGAATACGATACCCGTCCAGGAGCAATATTGTGTAAATAGTGCGATATTTTTTTCTGTGTCTGGGTCTAATTTATCTATAACTTGTGTGAATTTAAAAATATAAGAGTGTTTATCAGCAGTCTGGTTACCATAGTACAGGCTCTGTCTAGCTTGGGATCCACGCCGGGGGGAATGGGGGGATTGACCAGCCTACTTGTTAAAATCGATTCTCTAACTAGAACAAAATGGTTTTTATCCAAAACAAAAAAGAAACAGAAAAAATTTAAACCATTTTTTTTGCTAAATTGAATGTATGTCGGTTCATAAATAATGCATCATTATAAATTGGGGAATATGTCGGTTATTGCAGTAAAAAGTAGCCTACTTACTGATAAAGTAGCTTTCCATCGGTGAAATAAATCTTAAAATCGTTTTTTTTGTAAGGATTAAGTCCCTGTCACTTAATCCTTTCAAAATCTATCATTGATTCATCCGCGTAACAAACACACCAACTCACTTTCACATTTATAATTATAAAGTGTGAATTTTTAAAAACGATAACTTATCATAGAAGTAAATCCACAGAAAAAAAGTAAAGCATATGTTACCCGAAAGCCCTCGAAAAACCATCCCTAAGCCCCTTAATGAATAATGATGGGATTTTTATCCTTCGAAACCACTGTGTGTCACTTTCACATTACCACACAAAAAGGAAAAAGGTTTTTGTCCAACTACACGATTTCCGCACACTGTGCACCTTTCAAAGGTTAAGCGAATTTGGCTTTGAATTGCAACCGTTTGACCTAAATAGATAGTTTTGTGTACCGTTCTAACCACAGTGTAAAAAATTTAAGTAGGGTAATTTTTCGTAGTTTTTGTATTTTACTCCTTAAGAATCGATTTCCATTAAACGGCGCTCGGTACGAATAAATAATGACGAGTAAAATTTTGTTATCGAACGATCTCGTTACGTATTTAAGGTCTAAATCTAATTTATAGATGGCGGTTCGACTATTTACTTTTGTGTGGTTGTAATAATATTTTTTGGGCGTTTGTTATTAGTTCTATGATTGCAATTTGTTTTAGTTTAGTGAGTTGTCAACTACAAAATAAAATTGTTTTAAAACGGAATAAACTCCAAAATAAATGACAATTTATACGTGACTTCTAATTATTTTACTAACATTTACATAGATGGCACTGATCACTAAATTATGTGCAGCTGACGTACCCAAGGTATGCGTTCTTAAGGAGTAAACTCCAGTCGCAGTCGTAGTTTTTCTATGGAACTTTGTGATCATAAGAAGTCTAGACTTCTTTTTGATTAATAATAAATAATAATAATAATTAAGATATCTGACACACAACGCTATCTGGTTTCAAACTAAGCAGAGCTCATACTATGAAAGCTAGATTGACTGATGGAATACTTATATACTTTTTTTTGTAAATACATACATATTACACAAAGAAACCACAAAAACTCCGAAATAAATATTTGCAGATCATACAAACATTTGGTCCGACCCGAGAATCGAACCCGAGACCTCAGCACAGCAGTCGCATACGCTACCTACTTAACCAACGAGGCAGACTGTTTATGTATGAAAAGGTAGAGAGAATACAGAAAAGAAGACTTGAAAATTCTTGTGTATCCATCCTTCCAAACTTATTCTATTGGTCTTTGGATCGATTCCCGGGTGTCCGACCCGGTCCGACCAAGACCTTAGGACAGCAGTCGCATACGCTACCACTGCGCCACCGAGGCAATGACAACAATTTTTTATCCAGATTATATCCAGTTTTTGTATATGTATACTCATTTTTCTCACATACCTTGTTTTACGGTCAAACACAGACACAGAAAAAGAGTCTGACTCCTCACACAATTATTTGTCCTGAGTGAGACTGGATTCCAGGACTTCGGGATTAGCAGTCAGGGCCACTAACTAGACCAACAAGCCAGTCAACCAAAATGAGGGCATTTAACAGCGTCTGCTAACACTGCTGTGAATGTATATTTAAAATATTAAGAAATAACTTCATGTTTGTCATCAGGTCGCTCCAATTGACTACCTGAGGCAAGTGACTTTTGATCTTGGAGGAGAAGGTGTCCTCGGCGCGGTGACTGAACGGCATATGATCAGACGAGCTCCTCCGACTCATACCCAACAGAGCAAGAGTACTGTGCGAGCGCTGATAAGAAGGTTTAACCAGGTAAGCAGAATTGGTCGAACTTATATCCACAAACCGTCCGTATAAGTTTGTTAAGGAGCAGAATGTCCAGTTAGTAGAATTTCCAGATCGCAACATGTCCAGTTGGCAGAATATCCAGTTCGCAGAGTGTCCAGTTCGCAAAATGTCTAGTTAGTAGAATGTTCAGTTCGCAAAATGTCCAGTATTCATGCCAGAATTACTAGCGTGGTAGTTGTTAAACGAGAATAGGTTGTAAAGTTTTTGTCACCCTCTTACCCCCACCCCCAAGCCGCAAACGAAGTCGAGCGGATCAGCTAGTTTTATATGTAACTATAGATATAATATCTGAACGCGCATTTACATTTTGATTTCATTTTTCATGACTTCATGACACAAAGAACATAGACTCAGGACATCAATTTGTTATCAGACAAAGTGATGTCTCATGTGGGATCGAACCCACAACACTTAGTGCAGTAGGATGTGGCGAGGAGACCACTTAAACCACTACCTAACCGTGCAGTCAAAATATAAAACTGTAGAGAGGACCTCAATGTGTTGCCTGTTGGCTTAATCCAGGTCACCCACTAACCCATTTCAATACAGTAAAACAAGTAAATAGCCTGGTTGCGAAGCCTCTGCATCGTTGTTTATCTGTGACATAGTTTACAAAAGATTTTACAAAGTATGAACATTTGCCCGCTCGTGAAGGTATTTTAAATCCCTGTGAGAGAAAACTATACTGTGGTAGATTTTTTATGGATTGAGGACAAACGAACAGACGGGTCACCTGGTGGTAAAAGACTACCATCACCCGTGTACGTCAGGAATTAGAGAGTCATAAGTGCGTTGCAGAATCCATACTAATATTAAAAATGTGTCTGTCTGTCTGTTACCTATTTGTTGCGCTGTTACGCTTAAACCTCTAAACCGATTTAGATGAAACTTAGTATAGGGATAGTTTGAGTCTTGGGAAAGAACATAGGATAGTTTTTATCCCAGAAATCATCCTTTATGGCAGTGAAAAGGGGAGTGGAAGTTTGTATGGGGAATCAACAACCGCTGAACCGATTTAGATGAAATTTGGTATAGAGATAGTTTGAATTACGAGGAAGGACATAGGGACTGACATACACGAGAGCGGAGGCGCGCGTAGCCACAAGCTAGTTTTGATATGAGAATAAGATCTCTTCTTTTGTTTGTTTCAAGAGTTTCTTTGGTATCAAAGTCATAGTCAAATTATTTGAAATCGTCTTTTACGTAATGGCTCTAAATCATAGATCTTGTGGGTTCGATCCCCACATGGGACGATACTTTGTGTGATCCACAAATTGTGGTTCTGAGTCTGGGTGTTCTTTGTGTCCGGTTCATGTATGTTTGCAGAGTCCCCCGCTACACAGAATATATTCCAAATGCAGAAGTTCTCTTTTATAAAACAAAGAAAACAAAACAGATTCATTATTATTATTATATGCCTGTGCTGATCTTCAACCGTCCGTTCAAGAGGTTGAGCATAGTGAGAAGGAAGGGCAAAAAAATTCAAGGCCATTCTTTTCAATTATTACATCGATAGATATCGGTACGGAAATTCACTGGCGTCAATTTTTCAACAGATTTTCAGTGTATTTTTTATAACCTTGATAACATAAACACATTTTTGTTTGAAAATAATAGTATATGCTTAATTGTACACCAATTACAATAACATAGATGTATATAACAAACAGATAAGCCTCATTGCTAAAAGCAATCGCTTACAGTCAACCTTTGAATAGACAAATCGACAGGACATAAAAAAAACAAGGGGTCAAATCTAGGTTTATTGAAGTTACAGTAGTGTAAAAATAAATATGTACATATAAATACATATATAGATATATACACAATAAATAATAATATTTCTTATAATAAATAAGTAGGTGGTATAACATTATTGCATTGGGCTAAGCCTGTAAAAATAGTTGTTTTTAAAGAAAATAAATAAAATAAATAAATAAATAATAAATATGCTTAGTTTTAAAGTCAATTTTGAATTTATAATATTGAGTTAGAAAACTAATACAAGACGAAGTAGTTTAAAACTTACGTTAAGTTTAGAATTAGTTATAAGTTTTATAAGATTTCCATCTAATAGTTAGAAACCTTACAATACTGAACTTATAAGATAAATTTTTAAATTCAAACTTAATAGACATTTCATAATATACCTCAACAATTCTGCCCCGTTGGTTTTTTTTTAATTAGAAGTTATAATAATAACTAACAACACACGGAGACTGAACGAGTCTGTAATGTGGAAACCAGACTGCTGATAAACATACTTATATATAAATACAAAAAATATTACAGATAAAAATAATAATATAATATAATATTGTACCACATTCACACAACGCCATCTAGTCCCAATCTAAGCAGAGCTTGTAATATGGGTACTAGACAACTGATATCTTTCACATTAAATGTTCATGCACACAAATGTTTGACTGAAGCGGGAATCGAACCCGCGACCTTTGGAACAGCAGTCCGTTACACAAACCACTACGCCATCCGGTTGTCAAAAAAAATAACACCCAGACACAGAACAAATGATTGTGCTCATCACACAATTATTTGTCGTGAATGGAAATCGAATCGTGGGAACCCACGACCTTTGACTTTAATAAATTACGTCACGAAGTTATGGGCTTTTGGTGTGACGTTATTAATGGATAACTCCCTCGCAGTTAGAATCACTAACCACCTCGCCAACAGGACAATCAAGTTATAAATTAACACATACAAAGATAACGCAACAACTGTTTTGTTAAAAATGGCTGTTAGCCAGACAGTCAACTTATAAATCTATTAAATAAAATTCTCGTGTCGCGGTGTTTGTTACCAAACTCCTCCGAAACGCCTATACTAATTTTTATGAAATTTTGTGTGCATATCAGGTAGGTCTGAGAATTGGCCAACACCTATTTTTCATACCACAATTTCTTTTTTGTCAATTTCCTAGAAATAATGTATATGGCAAAACAACGTTTGCCGGCTAGTATATTTATATATTTCTGATACCTGACACACAACGCCTTGCCACGCCACAATCTAAGCAGATCTTGTATGAAAACTAGATAGATTACTTGTATTGTTTTGCAAATACATACATATTATACATAGAAAACACCCAAACTCCGAAACAAATATTTGCATATATATATTTCATATAGCAAAGAGAACTGACGGCCGATGGGGCAGCAAGGTTCTCCAATGGAGACCACGTACTGGAAAGCGCAGTGTGCGACGACCGCTTACCCGATGGACGGACGACCTGGTAAAGGTTGCCGGAAACCGTTGGATGCAGGCAATCAACCGTCCCGACTGGAAATCATTGGGAGAGGCCTATGTCCAGCAGTGGACAAGCATAGGCTGAGGTGATGATGATATATTTCAATCTCAGCACAGCAGTCGCATACGCTACCACTTCACCACCGAGGCAGTCAAATGGTTGAGCCTTATGAAAAGCTCAAAAATTTGACATACGAGCAGACTGGTCAGCTGATGGTATGTGATTACCGCCACCCATGGTTGATAGGGGTAGATTTTATAAAACACGTTGGCAATCGCCTTGTGTTGGATGATCATAGAAAGATTTTCTTCAAAAAATCTGTACTGTTAAATGAATAGAATAGAGTTTTCAAAGAAAATTTGTTTAATTATCATCAACAGCCTTTAATAGTCCACTGCTGGACATGGACCTCTCCTTAGAAAGGAGGTTTTGGCTTACTATACCACGCTAGCCTGAGGGGTTGGTATAGGGTTGCTTAGAAGTTTTCCTTTTCTTTGCAATGCTGTTGTCCTGCGTAGTTTGCTCCCTTAGTCGGCTTTTAGGATACCCATGGGATGAATATTGGTGGTGACACTCTGTATCTGACTTTGTATCTGTAAATTGGGCTGGCAACCTAAAAATAAAAATATTTAATTAAATTTTTGAATTCTCCAGCCGCTATTAGATGCACTTTACTGAGTATCAAAGTGCATCTTCTGTCACCAACAGAATTTGATAGTCCACTGCTGGACATAGGCCTCTCCTTAAAAAGGAGGTTTTGTATACTTACGCTGTCGAGGCAATACAGTACTTAGACACAAGAAATTTTATACGAAAATTTGGGTAAACTGACAAAATGGCGCACTGTCAATCAAATAAACGATAAAAGGCTCAAACTATGCGTGAATATAAAAGACAGTTGTGCCAATTTAGCGACAAAAAAAGAATTTCGACAATCCCTTTAAGCGAGCTTTTTAAATGAACGATTCGCTACACATCCTTGAGAGAATTTATGAACATATATATGTACTATATAGGTATTGGTTTATTATTTCACGGTCACATTTGTTTTTTTTTATACACACAACGCCATCTAGTCCCAAACTAAGCAGAGCTTGTACTATGGGTACTAGACAACTGATATAAATACATATCTACTTTTTTTTTGTAAATACATACATATTATACACAGAAACACCCAGACCAAATCAAACATCAAATGTTAATGCACAAAAATGTTTGACTTGAGCGGGAATCGAACCCGCGACCTTTGGAATAGCAGTCCGTTACACAAACCACTACGCCATCCAGTCCTCAAAAAAAATAACACCCAAACATATTCTGGGAATACTTTGTTAAAATTATAAGTATGCAACTCTAACATGTTTCAAACTATTGCTAAAAAAATGCGTTCAATCTGATTCTAAACTAGGCAGCGCATGTTTTGTTTTAAACAGACTGCAGCTAAACATACTTATATATTTATATAAGTATGTTTATGTATTATCGTGGGAGAGCCATGCTTCGGCAAGAATGGGCCGGCTCGACCGGAGTGATACCACGGCCTCACAGAAAACCGGTGTTAAGCAATTCTTTAGTTGCCTTTCACTGAGTGAGTGAGGTTACCGGAGCTCAAATCCCCCCTCCCCTTGACTCGAGCGGGAGGGACTCCAAGGGCGGCAAACCACTTGTGACTTTTGAGTTGCAGGTG